ACAGCCCCCAAACTCCTTCAACGAGCCACCTAACCCGTACACCCATCCACCGACTCCTTAAACTACATGGTCACTTGCTTATTTCTCCGCCTAATGTAGTATGAGATGGTCTATTTTCCCCTTACAGTTGACCACAGATTAGTGATTTCGTTAGTCTTCGTTTGAGTGTTTCATTCTATTGTGATGGGTTGAGATGTAAAACCCCGGATTTGAGTTTTATAATTAACTTGTTAGTGTTCATTTGTGTTCTTTAGTTACACTTCTTTCGTATGAGATTGTACTATTGTTTTTTATTTGAGTGTGAGACTATGTACCCCAGATTTATGTTTATGCAATGGAAAGGGATTATGTTGTAATCTTTATATGATATTACCAAAACAAGTTCAAGCGTAAAGCTTCAAGATGCAGGGAGAAGGATCCGGCGTTGCAAATGACGAGCACCAGAGAAGGGCATCCGCTAGACGACGATGACGGTCTATGGCTGCAACCGACGCTACACTAGCCACTGCCGCGTTTTTGGACATTGACACGGTACCAAGGCCCATGCACATTTCTTCTTTGAGAGGCATCGATAAGGTAAATGAGTTGTTAGCAAACAATAATGAAGCTGCTATGTATAATAAGGTGTGCATGGGACCACGTTGTTTTATGGTTCTTTGTGACATACTAATTGAGAGACGTTTGTTACAACCCTCGCACAACATGAATGTACCAGAACAATTATTTGTGTTTTTAACAATTGCTTGCCAAAGTCAAACTAACCGTGAAGCGCAAGACATATGGCAGCATTCTAAGGAGACAATTTCATGGCGGTTTACTAATGTCCTTGACGCTATATGTGCACTATACGAAGATTTTATTAAACCCCCTAACTATGACAAAATACATGTTTTTTTACGTCAGAATCGGCAAAGATATGGTACATGGTTTGACGTAAGTTCTCTAGCCCTTTTACCTAAATATTGTGTTAGTCACTCGTTCAATTGTTCTTACTTATAATATCTACAATCCAATATCATTGTTTAGGATTGTGTAGGCGCGATTGATGGAACTCATATACCTTGTACACCGATTGGAGTTCCAAATCCTATGGCGTACCGCAATAGGAAGGGTGTGAACTCCCAAAACATATTGGTAGTCTGCTCTTTCGATATGAAGTTCGCGTACATGTTATCTGGATGGGAAGGTTCAGCGCACAATGCAAGAGTGCTAACGGAAACGCACTCCAATCCTAGGTTCAAGTTCCCACGTCCCCCACCAAGTTATATTTCATAATGTATCTGTAGTTATAGGTATTAATAGTATGGGGCATAAATTGCATCCTAATTTATATAACTTACGTAGGAAAATACTATCTTGTTGATGTGGTGTATGCAAATTCTGATTGTTTTCCCGCTCCCTACATAGGTGAGACTTACCATTTGCCTGATTATAGAAGGAGAAGTGGTGGATTTCAGGGAGGTAGAGATATTTTTAACTACAAACACTCGTCGCTACGTAATTGTATAGAGCGAAGAGAAATTTGAATATGGCAGGGGAAGTGCTTGGAATTTATACCTTGCTGGTAAACCGGTTGGCGTGTTAGCTGCAACTGCAATGTCAAAAACCACATATAAAGCAGTACTTGATTCTAGCCCAACCAGCAACTCTTCTTGGGAATTAATGAAGGTAATTAAACTTTTGGCTAGTGAGTTTTGTTATGTTCTTGCTTTGTTTGAGTCTAGTTGGACTTTAGTTTTGGGAAATGCATTATGTGGATGTTCTTGATGATGTGGATTTGGTACTTATATGCTTATGCTTTGTTGAAAAGGTTGATAAAGAGAATTGGCATTATTGTTGGAAAATTGTAATAAGACCTTTCATTTCAATTCACCGGTTGATTATCAATTTGTAGAAAGAAACTGTAGTTTTTCATAAGAAGATAAGAGGGGTCCAATTTTGTTGCCCCGTTTGTAGCCAATTCTTGATTTGAGGATTATATACCATTAGAACCCTTTACGTTTCATAGGTGCTGTCACGCCCCCAAACCGGGGTTAGTGACATGGAGGCTCGTTTAGAAACTTAAACCTGTTAGAGAGAGTGATTAGCAAATATTTCAATTTCTTTCAAATCCAAAACATCCAGGTATTTCTGAACGAGCCCCTTTTTTCAGGAGAAATTCAATTTCAAGAACGATGGTGGAATTTCTAACCAAACCAGTTTAAAACCACGTCCCTGGTATCATGTTAGGAATTCCCACAGGTGTTTAGCATACATGAATATAAACAAAAGTAAGTGTGACATCAACCACAGTCTAGTAATATTTAAGTTTACAATCCACAATCTTTTATACATGCCTTAAAATAAAAGATAAGAGGAAAGACAACTCTTCACTTTTCGAGGTCAAGTCCACGTCACCGGTAGTAGCTACCTACTCTGCACTACTCCTCGCATCTCCTGGAGGGGTTTAATATATTTGAAAACAAGAAAGGTGAGCGAAAGGCCCAGTAGGATATAATTTTATAAAGCATTTAAAATAAAGGTACTCACGGTCCGAAGATATACACCCGGAACCGATCATCCCTTTTTAGAAAAGGAAATACTCACAGAAGAAAATATATGTATAATGAAAGTGTGCACCTCATCATACCACTAAACAAGAAGCGGTAAAATGTCTGTCTAGTGAAAAGTGTAGAGCCATAATTTCACTAAACTAGAAGTGGATCCATACGGGTTTCGGGACCTGCCCCAAGGATGCGATTCCCACATCCCAATCTCTATGGCCACCATGCATTGTATCATTCCTTAAAGTATTTCATTTTAAGAAATGATACTCTTTAAAATCTCATTTCCAAAATCATTGGAAAACTTAATAGCATTCTCATGCTATTTCCTTAAAATCATTTTCTTTAAGCATGTTTTGTTCTAAAACATTTTCATTGGCCAAAATCATTTAAAGTAAGGCTAACAAGGATATGGACAATAATATCCTACCTTTTGGATATCAAACCTGGTTTAGCTTTCCGTTCTCCTAGCCTCCGCTTTCCTTTGAGGCTCCAATTCCAATCGTGCCACTAACTTTCCCATCAAAATCAACAATTTAGAGTTTGATCTTTCTCACCAAACATTCTCGTTTAATTAGGTGCAATTGTATCATATTAATGTGCCATAGTTCAAAATTAATGTTTATAAACAATTCTTAATTCAAATCATGATTCTTTGTCAATGGAGATTCATTCCGGAGAATCGAATGGAAAATAAGAATTCATGTGGCTAATCCACTCATTTTGAGTTTTCAAATGAGGTTAGGTCAATCCCACATCGAGTTTCGGGGTCAAAACAAGGCTTTCTGGGCTGTTTAGGGTCGGTTTCAGTGGGAACCGGTTGACCGGTGACAGAGGAGTGTAACTCCACCGATAAGCCGGTGGAGAGGTGACCGGTTAACCGAATTGGTCGACCTATGGAAGGGTGACCGGTCGACCGGACCGGTCGACCGGTGGGGAAGAATTCCAGGGCCAACAATGGCCAATGCGCGAGGAACAAGGCCAAAACCTGCAATTTTGGGTCCGATTTCGACATATTCTCAAGGGAAATATATAGATCCAGTTTCAAATCAACAAATGGGGTCCAAAGAATCAAAAGCCCCCAATTTTCATCAAGGTTTCACCAAATCCCATTCGGATTCCATTTGAAAACAAAATTTTAAACCAAACATCACCAAACTCGACTAAAACGAGTTCCACAAAGCTAAATTCGAAAATCTAAAGTAAGTTTCAAAGATTTTTACCTCGATCTAATCTTTGATGTTGAAAATCTCTTAGAAATCTCCGTTTTTTGTTTAAATCCAGCCCTTGAGAAAGAAAACTTTGAGAGAGAGAGGGAGAGATGAACGGGAGAGGAAGAGAGAGAGAGAGAGAGAGTCGAGACAGATAAAGGGAGAGGGAGAGTAACGTGAGGAAGGGAAAGGAAAAAAAGAAATAAGGAAAAAGGAAAAGGAGAAATAGAAGGAAAAAGGAAATTAGGAAAAATAAATAAAATAAATAGGGGTGAAATTACAAATACTAAAATAAATTTAAAAGCTCATGATTAATTAAGAAAATTAATTTAGGCACACTAATAAACTACAATTACCATAATTAAACAAGTTTAATTCCGGAGGGCGTTACAGGTGCTGAGTTAGAACTTTTAGAAGACAAAGATTTGAGCTTTTTTGTTTAAAAAAATGTTATTGAGATTAGTATCTCATCCAAGATTACTTATCTGGTGTTGCGTTTTGTAATTTTTAATATCTTTTCAAGAAGTGAATTTGTAATTTTTGACTTTTTTAGGCAAGGATACTGATGGAGCCTGGATATGTTGGTAGTAATGAGAATCCTTTACACGGGGCAGAATCCAATCAGCCACCCGAGGCTGTGCATATTCTTGAATAGCTGGAGCTTAGCGTTATTACGGTGGCCGACGCTGATCGCAGGTAAAAAATTGTTTGACAGCCTTTATTTTGATAAACTAGTTGTTATTATTTTAATTTTGTTGTACTTAATCTTCGATTTTTATTGTTAGTTATGCCATAATAATTCTCAGAAGCCTTTGGATCCACTTTGTTACCAGCTCGCACCACCACACATACATGTAAAGATGTATATATAGCACATAAAAATATATTTTTCTGGCGTTCCCTTTTCTAAGTTTCAGGTTGAGTTATATATACGTAGAAGAGAGTAATTAGGGAAGGAAAGTTAGGTTTTTGAATTATTTCTCAGCTTCCCGATATGAAGGATCTGTGCCTTTTTGGTGTCTCTTATCAATTCTGAGCAGCTTCATATTGAGATTCCTTCATTCGAATTTGATTTTGGTTAGTTTTTAATTTGACACTGTCTTCTTCACTCTTCTTTCTTATCACTAAAGAATCAGAGTTTTCGGTTTAATGGTGAATTGAGTGAGTGTCAATTGGGTTATACTAGTCTATATTAAAAGAATTTGGTGTTTGTCCTATGATTCTATCTTGAAGACACTTGCCATAAATGGCCTTGGTTACAACTGCTGAAATTTGTGATGCAAACTCACAACTAATTACGAGCGGCGAGCTCCGGGCACTCCAGCCAATTTTTCAGATATATGGCCGGCGACAGGTGTTCTCCGGACAAATAGTTACCCTCAAGGTGTTTGAAGACAATGTGCTGGTTCGCGAGTTGCTTGAGGAGAAAGGCAATGGCAGAGGCAATGGCAGAGTTCTTGTTATGGACGGTGGTGGAAGCTTGAGATATGCTATATTGGGTGGTAATCCTGTAGTTCAAGCTCAGAACAATGGATGGGCAGGGATAGTGGTGAATGGATGTAAAAGAGATGCTGATGAGATTAATGGATGCCTGTCTAGGTGAAGAAATTGATGATTTGATGCCAGGAGACGAGGTGAAGCAAGCACTGCCTGTCTAGGTGAAGCAAGCACTGCCTGTCTAGGTGAAGCAAGCACTGCAGTGGAGTTCAAGATGGTACTTATATAATTGCTACCATGGATAAAGGAGGCATATGTTTGTATTGACACGGATAGTAGGTGCAGGACATAATTTTTTTCTAGTCATTGGCTTGTTATATAATGGAAGCTTGGCTTGTTATAATTTTGAGACAAGTTTGATATACGCTTGGCTTGTTATATAATTTCATTCACATTTTTTCCATTTATTTCCCACCTAGCTTGTTATAATTTTGAGTTATAATTATTTACATAATTTTTTTCTAGTACTTCAATTTTTTAATTATATAACGAATTATATTTTTTTTAAATTACGCGTAACGAATTGTATTTATTATATAATTTTTTAAATTACATTATTTTGGTCATGATTCAAATTCAGAAAACAAGACAACCAAACACTGGTTCGAATCACATTTCAGATTAGAATCAGAATCATGCATATACACATCTAAATGAAGGTCCTAATCACTTTGAGTCATGATTCAAATCACTCTGATTTCAATCCTTATACCAAACGAACCCTAAGATATTAAAGAATGGTTACATCAAAATTGTTATATAATATAACGCATTATTAGAGACAATGGTTTGTTTGAAATTGTCATTTAATATGCATACAATTTTCCGAAACACAAAGATCTCCCTATCGTATTTTTTAGTGCTTCCTCAAAAACCATCATTAAATATATGTTATGCAATCTTAAGATTATATTGGTGTTAGCATCAGGTACAGTCAAGACTTGTTATACTCTTCTGAGAGAGGGGAAAGATATCTGGTACCGGTAGTTTCATCACAGATTAAGTTTATATGCCCATTTTTTTTGCCTCATTCCTTCCGTGTCCTTTTAATAATAACATGTTACATTATAATTTTTGAATTAACATTATAAAATTTTTTAATTTACGTGGCATTTTAATAGATATGTCACAATATTATTGGAGAAAAATAAAAAGAGATAAAAATAAATGGACACAAAAATAAGCATATGATGACAAAGGTCATTGTATCTTGACAAAGTCAGAACAATTAATTTCCATGGAAAAAAAAGGGTTGAAAATCACTAGTAACGCGGACAGTACTGGACTCTCTAGAGTCAAGCACGCTTGATTTCCTTCTTCATTAGCCGGCCCTGATTCCATCTATGGACGTATTTCTGCAGGTTCCAATATTTCTCTTCTGGTTGTAGTACTGTGTCTTGAATATATAACCCGTTCTCCTTGTACGAATAATTACACCTGCAACATCTTTTCTCTTCAAAACGGAGAGATGAGCTTTTATCTCTTCTTCACCCTTCTCATACTCACATATGTCATCGCCGGCGGGCAATCCTACAAGCCTAAGGACGGCATAACCCTCGACTGTGGCTCTTTTGGAAACTACACGCGGCTAGGTGACACTCGAAGCTGGGCGGGAGACATCAGCTCCAAGTTTTTTCCCTCGGAAGGCGAAAATAAAGAATCAATCGCCTCATCAGCGACTTTTGATGATCACACGGTAACTATGGAAGTTCCTTACACAACAGCGCGGCTTTCCCTATCTGAATTCACGTATGTCATACCTGTGACCCCCGGGCCGAAGTTCATACGGTTGTATTTCTTATCGGCTAGATACGAGAACTATAACAGCTCCAAGGCCTTCTTCTCCGTCGAACCCGATGAATACACCCTCTTAAGTAACTTCAGCATTGATCTTACTGCTGGCGCCCTTCGAAGAAAATACTTAATGAAGGAATTCTGCGTGACAGCATTCAGGTCAAGTCTGAAGATAAAGTTTTCTCCTAGTTCTTTAATTCCAGATGCTTTTGCGTTTATCAATGGAATTGAAGTCGTGTCCATGCCCACTGATCTCTATTACTTGAAGGGCGCCCATGATGGCATTACATTTGTGGGAGAAAAGTCCCCTTACTTCATTAGTAACAACACCGCTCTTCAGATGATGTGTAGAGTTGACATTGGTGGAAGCTTTATCTCTCCAAATGGGGATACTGGTTTTTGTCGAAGTTGGGAGGGCAAGGAGCGCGAAGATGATTTATATTTGACGATACCGGGATCGAGTCTTCTGCCTGCTGAGATCGATTCCACTAAGTTGAAGTTCACAAAAATTCCAGATTATATTGCACCGGTCCAGGTTTATCAGACCGCCCGCACGATGGGGAACGATAAAGAAGGTAACAAGAAGTACAATCTCACCTGGGAGTTCCCCGTAGATTGGGGATTTAATTACAGGGTAAGGTTGCACTTTTGTGAGATTCTTGAGGAGGTAAACTCAACCGATAATCGAAACTTCCGCATTTTTATAGCAAATAAAATCGCCGAGGAATATGCCGATGTGGTCGAATGGACTGTTGGTAAATATATACCTTATTTTAGAGACTACATCGTTCCGTTGTACGAAGTACTAGGAGGTGAGAAGAAATTAAACCTCTCTGTCGCTCTACAAGCACAAGATGGCTGGCTCAGTGCTTATGCTAATGCAATTTTGAATGGGGTGGAGATCTTCAAATTGAACGACACAAAAGGCAACCTCGCTGGTCCTAATCCTGATCCAATTCCTCAAGATCCCTCTCCAAGCCAGCAAGAGGAGATCGAGGCAAAGAAGAGTGATCGAACAACAATCATAGCAATCCTCTCCGGTGTAGTTTCCAGCGTAGTTTTACTCGCCGTCCTCGGATTCTTTACTCTCCGACGAGCAAGAAAAGTCAAAGACAGCCTCTACTGAAGAAACTACTTGGTGGGGCCCTCTTTCTTTTGTCACAACCAAGTTAAGAAAAACTCGAGGCTCGTCATCCTTACCATCCGATCTTTGTCGTTACTTTTCGTTGGCTGAGATCAAAGCCGCCATTAACAACTTCGAAGATATTTTCATCATCGGAGTGGGTGGGTTTAGAAACGTGTATAAAGGGTACATCGATAATGGGACCAATCCCGTTGCCATCAAACGACTAAAGTCCGAGTCATCCCAAGGGGCCCATTAGTTCAAGACCGAGATCGAAATGCTCTCTCATCTCCGTCACTGCCATCTCGTCTCTCTAATCGGCTACTACAACGAGGACCGTGAGATGATCCTCGTCTACGACTACATGGCACGTGGAACTCTCCAAGGTCACCTCTACAACACTGAGAACTCACCGCTGACGTGGAAACAACACCTCGAGATTTGCATCAGATCCGCGCACGGGCTGCACTATCTCCACACAGGCGCGAAGTACACGATCATTCACCGCGACGTGAAGACAACAAACATTTTACTGGATGAGAAATGGGTGGCCAAGGTCTCCGATTTCGGGCTTTCAAAAATGGGCCCCACTACCATGTCTAAAGCCCACGTCAGCACAGTCGTCAAGGTTAGTATCGGGTATTTAGATCCGGAGTACTACAGACGTCAGCAACTGTTGGAGAAATCCGACGTGTACTCATTCGGCGTTGTTTTGTGCGAGGTTCTTTGCGGCAGGCCACCAATAATGCGCAATGCCGAGAAGGGCCAAGTAAGCCTAGCCGAGTGGGCCCAACACTATTACCACAACGGGACACTTCATCAAGTCATAGATCGTAATCTGACAGGCAAGATTACGCCAGAGTGCTTGAAGAAATACAGTGAGATCGCGGTGACGTGTATGCATGATAATGGGACAGAGAGACCGTCGATGAACGATGTCGTGTGGGGCCTGGAATTTGCAATGCAATTACAGCAAAACGCGGAGGACAACAATGGGAATGGTGGGGCAATAATGGAGGCTGAGGGTGAGGACGAAGTTGCATTCTTGAATAATAACAACAGTAGCTGGGACGGAATGTTCACTTGTAGCTGGGAAGAGTCATTGGAGTTGAGAAGTAGTGGGATGACTAAAATCAGTAGCTCTGAGTAGGGATCCACTACGGACGAGTCCATGAAAGGAATGTCTGGGGCTGTCTTCTCTGAGATCAAGGATTCAAAGGGAAGATGAACAGAGTAGGATACACATAAGTATATAAATAGTAACATAAGTTTTTCAAATTTCCTATCAACCTAATCAGTCGGTACTTTAGAGTTTACGAAAGATCATCTGAGGTCTATATGACAGAAAGTTAGTTGTATAATTAGAGAATTTTTAGAATGAATTGCAAATCAACTTTTGCATTACTTTTCAGTATATTAAGTTACAATAATAATGCCTATTTATAGTAGAGTACACGAGAGATAGATACACATGATGACAGTTGCAAAATTAGGAAACCATTCCTGATTTGGTCCCTAACGGTCAAGAGGGGATTAAGGAGCTATTAGTGGCAAACTAGCAGATTGCTCTAACGGTCAAGAGAAAATTAAGAAATAAATCTTGATTGAGGAAATCCCTGAGATATGGCAGCACATTGAATGAGATTTGATACTAGGTGATTGGTTCTTCCCTTATGTGACTCATGAGCCATGGCTATTGTAGGAGGGAGTTGACCAACATTATTTTCACCCTTTTTCAAGCTGGAGGAAATGATTGAATGTACTTCTAGCTTGTCCCTAAAATGACGAAATGGGAGTTTGGACAAAGGCTTGGTGAAGATATCTGCAATCTGATGTGATGAGGGAATATATCGGGTTGTTAATGCCCCAATGGCAACTTTTTCCCGAATAAAGTGGTAGTTAATCTCTATGTGTTTTGTACGAGCATGGAACCCTGGATTTATTGTCATGTGGAGTGCACTTTTGTTGTCACAAAAGAGTTGTGATGGATCATGTAGTTTAATTCCAACATCTCTAAGTAAGAAGGCAATCCATACTAATTCTGCTGTTGTAGATGCCATTGACCTGAATTCTGCTTCAGAACTTGATCTTGAAACTGTCGGTTACTTCTTTGATGACCAAGAAATGCAGTTGGCCCCTAAATATTTGCAGAACCCACTAGTGCTTCTTCTAGTGTCTGGACATCCTGCCTAGTCTGCATCACAGAATCCATATAGCTTTAGTGGACTTTGGGCAAGAAATTTGATTCCATAGTGCATTGTTCCTTTGAGATAGCGAAGTATTCTTCTTACTGCTTTCATGTCTCCCTCTGTTGGTTCTTTAAGCTTTTGACATACTTTGTTGACTGCTTGGACGATGTCAGGACGAGTATAGGTAAGATATTGAAGGGCACCAACTAGACTTCGATATTCCTTTGCGTTGATTGGCTTGGAATCTTGTGGTGTTATTTGAGGTTTCAAAGCCATTGGTGTATTGAAGTGAGAACTTTCCATGAGTTTTGCTCGATTAAGAAGATCTTTGGTGTACTTGCCTTGAGAGAGAATGATTCCTCCTGGAAAATATTGTACTTCTAGTCCAAGGAAGTAATGTAGTTTTCCCAAGTCCTTTAGCGCAAATTCTGAGCTGAGTTGGCTTATCAAGGATTGAATAGATTTTTCATTGTTTCCTGTAAGCACAATATCATCAACATAAATTAGCATAAGTATAATGACGTTTTCTTTTGTTAAAATAAATAAAAAAGAGGCTGCCTTGCTATAGACAAAACCAATGTGAATTAAGAATTCAGATAATCTATTAAACCAGGCACGCGGTGCTTGTTTGAGTCCATAGAGCGATCTGTTTAGTTTGTACACATGATCTGAGAGCTTTGAATCCTTAAATCCTGGTGGTTGTTCCATGTATACTGTTTCTTTTAGGATACCATGAAGGAAGGCATTTTTAACGTCCAATTGCCTCAGTTTCCATTTTGATGATACTGCAATAGCTAGCACAAATCGAATAGTGGTGGATCTCACAACTAGACTGTAGGTTTCCTCATAGTCTAGTCCTTCCACTTGTGCGTACCCTTGTGCAACTAAGCGGGCTTTGTATCGTTCTACTGATCCGTCTTCCTTGTATTTGACTCGAAAAATCCATTTTGACCCAACCACATTAGTGTTTGTTGGTCTGGGCATGAGGGTCCATGTGTGGTTCTCACGTAGTGCATGTATCTCTTGTTTCATCGCTTCTTGCCAATGTGAATGAGCTAGTGCATCTTTGTATGATTTTGGAGCCGTAACATTACTGGTTGTTATGAAGGTAATGTGATGCAATTTTCCTCGTAGCTGATTCCTTTTGTTTCGAATTTGTTGAGTTTCATTTGCCAAATCAGAATCTAGTTCTGGGTTATTCCTCAACTTCATTCGAGTAATCATATGGGTGTCTTTTGAGGCTTGCATTGGACCTGCATCACAATCATTGAAAACATTGGTTAGGTTGTCACTCGAATCAGGTAAGTCATAAGCAGATTGATGCCCAATCATTTGAGGCTGATCGTGGTTTGAGGTTGCATGTTCATTGCTTGGTGAATCTCGTTTTTCACTGTTGATTTGGAGTTCTTCATTTTCTGTTCTATTTTCTGTTTCGACAATGAGTTCTGGCAGGATATTGCTTTCTGATTCTGTGTCATCTAGCTGAGTTACCACATCATTTTCTTCTTGAGAGTTGATGACATTATCTTCATCACAAAGAGTGCAAGATCCCCCTTTTTGAATTTGTGCATAGATTTCTTCAGTTGCTTTCGATTGTTGTGTGTTCCCTTTTTGAATTGTACAGTCAAGCTCTTTCTTTTTCCATGCGTCTGAATCTGGGAATGTTGTCACTTCTAGATTTTCCTACAAAGTCATTTCTTTGTGGGGGGCGTAAGGAAAAACGTTTTCATCAAAAACAACATGTCGTGAAATCCAAACCTTATTAGTTGAGGGATTAAGACATCTATAACCCTTGTGAATAGGGCTATATCCAATAAAAATGCAAGGATATGTTTTCTTCGCAAACTTGTTTTTCCCATAGTCTCTTAGATATGGAAAGCACTTGCATCCAAAAACATTTAAACTCCCATAGTCTGGGTGACGATTAAACAGTTTAAAGAAAGGTGTTTCCATGTTGAGCTTTGTGGATGGCATGCGATTTATTAGAAAACATGTTGTAAGAAAAGCATCCACCCAATATTTAGAAGGAAGATTTGCCTAAAACAATAAGGTGAGGCCTGTTTCAACAATATGTCGGTGCTTCCTTTCAGCCACTCCGTTTTGTTCAGGAGTGTGTGGACAAGAGAATTGATGATGGATTCCACATTGAGATAGGTGTTTTTCAAACTCAGTTGAGGTGAATTCACCTCCACCATCACTTTGAAAAATTTTTATATTTCTTTCAAACTGATTTCCAACTTGTCTTTGGAACTTAAGAAAACTCTCAAAGAAATCAGATTTCTTCTTTAGAGGAACAAGCCATGAGTAATGACTACAGTCATCAACAATAATAGCATAATATTTAAATGGTTGGCAAGATAAAATTGGAGCAGGGCCCCACAAGTCACAATGCAATTTGTCTAGAGGAAATTTTGAAATATTATTGGATAAAGTAAAGGGAACTTTGCAACTCTTTCCTATTTGGCAACTAATACAAATAGATTTTTCTTTTTCCCAACTGGAAACATTGATTAAGTTTTTTGAATGTAAGAGTTTCAAAAACTTTGAATGAGGATGGCCCATTCTCTTGTGCCAAATGTTTTGAGAGGCAGGATCCTTGAAAGCAGCTAGTGCTTGATGCTTTATATCATCTAGTGCATACAACCCTTTGCTTTTACGTCCTTTAGCAAGTATTTTGCCCTCCTGAGACTTAACAAAAAAATTGTTAGTATTAAACTCAATGGTACATGCATTATCATGAGCTAATTGTCCCACAGATATCAGATTCTTTTTGATATTAGGAACAATTAGGACATTTTTAAGATCTAAAGTACCATTTTTAGTCTCAAGTTTTCCTTCACCAATGTGGGAAATATTCAAACTTTCTCCATTTCCAACAAGAATTGTATCCTTACCTTTATAGCACATGACTTTAGAGAGTTTACCTGTGTCATTTAGCATGTGTGTTGTTGCTCCGGAGTCTACATATAGATTTGGATCATCTCCATTTTTCAGACTCATTGCAGCAAGTGCCTTTGGTAGGTGATCCTCTGGTTGAAATGAATGGTCGAATCGGTTCCAACACTTAAGGGCAATATGATTGAACTTTCCACATATTTGGCATGTTGTGATGCTTTCTCCTTGTGGGGTTTGTTTCCAGTTGGAGTTTTTTGCTCTCTGGTTATTTTTATTTCCATTGAAGTTGGAGTTTTGGTGAGAGTTTGAGCTATATCTTGCTGCTGGATTGAATCCTCTGCCTCGAGAACTGAATCTGCCTCCGCCTCGACCCCGTCCTCGTTCTCTTTGGCCAACAAAGGCTTGGTCATGGCGCGGTGTGATTTCTTGTTCCTCGGTATTACTATTAAGCATTCGTTCATAAGCTTGCAAGGATAACACAAACTGATGATAAGTAGGATAAGGTGGTTTGGTTAGCATAGCAGTTCGAAAGTCCTGGTATTTCGGTCCGAGACCTCTAGCCAACTGAGACACCTTCTTTGTTTCATTTATTGGTTTCTTGATTGCTGCAAGACTATCACAAACACTTTTGAATTTCTTAAGATATTCATCTAGAGAGAGACTTCCCTTTTTTAAGGTCATCAAGCATCATTTCTTTTTCTACATTATTAGGAAGAATTTGTTCTTTAATAGATTTCCATACCTTGTGAGCTGAGATTATATTTTCTAGAGAAATCAGTACCTCTGTTTCGATGTTCCTTAGCAGCCAAGCCCTTAACAGACTGTCATTCTTTACCTAGAGGATGTAGTTTAGATTTGACTCATCCGTCCCATCGTTCCTGGTTATCTGCTTCGTTGGTTCACTGCCTTCGACCAGATGGTGTGCCATGTCCAAGCTTTAAATCAGTAGCTCCATTTGTGATCGCCATAGCAGGTAATTGAAGCTGTCAAGTTTCAGGGAGATAAGGCTGGAACATTGATGAAGAACTTGAATAGTAATTTCAGGTTCAGAGTTGTTTTTAGTGACAAGGGCAGAAGAGGCCATATGGCTGATCTCTCGTGAGGCTCTGATACCAAGAGAATTTTTAGAATGAATTGCAATTCAACTTTTGCATTACTTTTTAGTATATTAAGTTACAACAAGAATGCCTATTTAAAGTAGAGTAGATGAGAGATAGATACACATGATGACAGCTGTAAATTCATGAAACCATTCCTGATTTGGTCCCTAACGGTCAAGAGGGGATTGAGGAGCTATTAGTGGCAAACCAGCAGATTGCTCTAACGGTCAAGAGAAAATTAAGAAATAAATCTTGATTGAGGAAATCCCTGAGATATGGCAGCACATTGAATGAGATTTGATACCAGGTGATTGGTTCTTCCCTTATGTGACTCATGAGCCATGGATGTTGTAGGAGGGAGTTGACCAACATTATTTTCATAATTCATGAATATTTACTAAGAAATAAGTTAAGTTGTAAGATCTGAAAATATACTTAGCGTATAATATTATTTGTGTTGTATTAGACACGTACGTACATGAAATACATGTATGTGAGTTTTTTTTTTTTTTTTTTTTTTTAACTATGATAAGGGGAAAACAAAATAATGTCTCTATTCGGCCTTGCGCCATGCCATTTTTTTAGCATAGTCACGCATGTATGTTTGTTAATTTGGTACTTAAATCGCAAAAGTAAGTTTTTTAGTTTGGTTAAAGAAATCGCACGAATTTGAAGATCATACTTTTAAAGAGGAACAATTTACAGAAATACAAAATGTTATAAATATTGAGCTCAGATTACTCCACGAGAAGAAATATATATGTGCCCCAAAGTTTAAGCTTAAAAAGAGAATAATAAAAGCTATATATTAATTTTTTTTGAGAAATTGGTAGATAGGCCAATTGTTAAAACCTTTGGAAGCAAATAACACATTTACGGAGAATTAGTAAATAATAGGCCAATTTTAGTTTCAACTGCTTTATTTTTTAACTTTACCATTCTAAGTTTTAGCTTTTTTTTTCCTTCTCCCGTTTCTTCATTCTTTTTCTCTCCCAATCTCTGATTCTAAGAACTTAGAACACGATGAGAAATCACAATGCCTCTCACCAGTCAATCCTATGAAACTCAGCAAATCATATCTATAATAAAGCTTAAAAAGGCAATCTATGATTTTAAATACATTGAATTAGTGTAGAACTCGGATTTACAGTATGCTTTTCCGGAAATTTTACAGGACCAGAAACTCCAAATTTACAATCTGTTATATCTAGACTTAAATTGGGAAATAATACTCAGCCGCTTGAACTCGTTGAAATCGGTCTTGGATTCAGGAGATTTGCTCACCGTGATCAGAAGCAACGACAGGGGTTCGCGAGGCCGAGGAGGATCAATGGCGAGAACGATACCGACGAGCTTCGTTGATGTCGCTCACGAAGGAGCCGATGTTGCAAACGTCTTCGATGGTGCTGATCTTTGATCTTCCTTCAACGGAGATCGAAGACAAGGCAGGGAGACCAAGAGTGAGAGAGAGGAGGAGAGAGAAAGTAGACTTAAGAGTAGAGAGACAATAAATGAAAAAGTGTTTTTTCATCGGGCTTCTATTCAAAGGGCATTTTCGGAATTCTAATTATGTGTAAATCCAAATTTACATTAAAAAGGCCAATTAACTAACATTTTTTAAATCTTGGCCTGTTTATTTTTATTCCTCTTCTATGTTGGTCTATTATGCTCCTTCTCTCTCTTTTTTTTAGGGCCGGTAATTTCGGACACGACATGATGAAACGATACGAAAATGAGATGAGATAAATGGGTTTAGACCACACGATTGTTAATTGGGTGGTTAACGGACTGGCACGAATAATACAAAAATAAACGGGTTGGATTCGTGCCAGCCCGTTTAACACGCTTAACCCGTTTAGTTATACAGGCCATAATCGGGCCGACACGACACGACCCGAACCGACCCGTTTATTAATATATAT